CCTGTTACACTTCAAATGATCATTATCCCCTAAAATAAACTGAAGAAAGTTCAAGTAAAGAAGAAACCATAAATTTAGATTGGTTTAATCAAAACTTCTTTGGGGACTTCTTGATCTTCAAAATTACATATGTTATCTGGCCCACTCCACATTTGATCCTCATCTACAAATGGGTCCAAGACTATCCTTGAAGGCAGGGCCTACTCCTGATTTTAAGGGTTCTTTCTGGTTCTCAGATTTCTGATTCTACATAATAATCAGAAAATAAAGCTTTGTAAATATCTTTTAGAGTTGGCATTTACACTAAGATTTATAATTCAACGAAAACATTCTAAGGTACATCATTACAAGAATCATCTCTGTTTTATTTATTCTACAGAGTAATGATTTAAATTGAATACACTTGGGCACAGTAAATATTTGACATGAAAAGTAGTTATCAGAAGAGGCATCAGAAAAATAGCAACTCATCTGACACATAATCACTAGAAAATATTTTTCTGTCCAATCACTTAAGTGTTACAAATCCTGAGAATGTTATACACTGAACAAACTAGGTACTACTTATAATTAAATTTTGCTTGCAAATCATCTGTTAAAAAAAACGCCTTGAGGTACAAATCACCTATGTATTAAACATGTCTTTTACATTTTTACAAAGAATTTAAACAAAAATATCAAACAATTAAAGTTAAGTGGCTCTTAAAACAGCTATTAGTCAGGCTCAAGGACACACTGTTCCACAATTTCCCGTAAGTTGGGGTTTTCCATCGCAGCTGCCACTCGCTCTTTGTCATTTATCTGCTTGTTGACTGCAAAACACAGATAAAAGTTAGCTGAGGAACTTTGTCAACATATAGTGACAGACAAAAATTTTATTAGCCCATTAAAACAGAATTTAACTCCTTGATAACTTAAAGCTGGCTCACTTTTTGTAAGTTCTACAAGGGAGACTTACAGAGAAAAATACCCCCTAAATTCCCACTACTCTACCACAACTATTTTCATGTCTTTCTTTCTAGTCTTCGTCCATATACATTATTTCCATATAAAGAGTAAATACAATTTTGAAAATTACTATTTTTCTCCCCTTAAGCCTATTTTTTAAACTACAGGGTTATTTAAAATAGCAAAAATTATAAGCCTTCTAAATTAATTATGAACACTATGCGACGTGGAGCACCTTTATACATACAGCCTTCTTTTTGGAGATTCTTGAAAGTGGCATTATTAGACCAAGGGGTATGAGTATTTTTATGGTTTGATTCTTATCACTGAATTATTTCCCAACATTTTTCACCAATTGTATTGTCAGCAACAATACATGAGCTATCAGTTTTCAAAAAATATCTGGTATTATTAATAAAAACAAGTAAACATACACACACATAAAACAGCAGGTGAAAATGGCTCCTTATTATTGCTGTAATTTGCAATTCCTTGATAAATAGTGGGAGGACATTTCTCCATGTTTATCTATTAGTTCTTCTGTGAATTTTCTGTCCGTCTCTGTTAATCTACTGGGTGTTTTATTTTTTAATGAGCTTGCATGGATCTTCATATAATAAAGGTATTGGCCCATATCTTCTGTCTATAATTTGCTAAAAGCACCCTCAAAGTAAGAGTTTAAAAGAGAAATGTCCATATTCTTTTCTAGACCTTCAATTTCAATTTCAAGTACATAGCTCTCTATCCTGCACCAAAGAAAAAAAATTGAGCCCTCTTTAGAGTTTGTAAGTCAAGGTTTCTAGAGCTGGATATTCTTTAGAGATGTGCAGCTACTAGGCTAAATCAGCCAATATTCACAGGGCCTGCCTCTAGTTCACCTAGAGTCCTACTGAAAAATTACCTTCTTGAAAAGCCTACGTTCCCCACCTCAAAGAAGAGGTAATAACTAATTCTTCACTTTTTTTGCAAATGACCCATAGATACTTGGATAGCAGAATAACAGTATCCAAGATGAAGTACTATCTGAAGTTGCTTTTTAATGGGTCAAGATTGACTTACTGTCTTCCTCTGTTGAGTGGGTTCCTTCAGAAATGTAGATTTCCAACTAGGAAGAAAAAAATATTAAAACCAAAACATTTAGAACACTCTAAGATAACAAGTGAAGTGAAATGCACAGTGGACTCAAGTGTCTAGGAATGAAAGCCCAAATAGTGTTCTTAACATCAATGACTTAGGGACAAATCCCTCCGAAACAGGGACTGAAATTAGTCGATTTTTTTTAAAGATTTTATTCATTTATTCATGAGAGAGAGAGAGGCAGAGGGAGAAGAAGACTCCCTGCTTGGAACTGTGTCAACATATAGTGACAGACAAAAATTTTATTAGCCCATTAAAACAATGGGGGACTCGATTCGAGGACCCTGGAATCATGATCTGAGCTGAAGGCAGACGCTTAACTGACTGAGCCACCCAGGGGCCCTGAAATTAGGATTTTTTAATTTTGGTCACCTGCGGAAGGCCTGCAGGGGGTATTCCCATTATTTTTTTTAATGAATACACACAAATAAAATTTTACACAAATGAGATCTCATACATACTTTACTCATGAATCTCTCTACCCTACACTCTACCTCTTCCTCCCAAATCAGTACCTAAAATATCTAAACTTCTTCTCTGCCCTAAGCCCCAAGAAAGCCATACTAATAATCTAGTGTAGTTTCTTCCATATTTTTCTCCATACCTACATAATGGAATACAGATTTTATACACACACACACACACACCCCAAAGTTGGAAGTTTCTTTTTTTTGCTTATTTTACAAAAATGGGATCACAATATAGTTTTCAGTATCCTCCTCTTCTCATTTATTATTATCTTGCTAAATTTACTCTCAAGTATAATATTGATTAAGCTAAACCTCCTGGTCCTGCTGCATTTCCTCAGATTAGTTAACCTCCAAGAACTAGACCTTCTGAGACAAACCCACAAAATTCTGTGACAAATAACACATTCTATATGAAAAAGACATGTCTACTCTCCAGAGAACACTGGAGTGTATGAACTAATTCTTACACAGTTATTTTACTACTAAGATAAATGTTTTTCAAGAGTGAAAAAAATCATACCTTATTATGGCTAAAAGAGACCCCAGAGATCATCTAGAACAGTCTTTTTTAAAAAACAAAACACCTTGGGGCGCCTGGGTGGCTCAGTTAGCTAAGCACCCGACTCTTGATTTTGGCTCAGGTCATGATCTCAGGGTTGTGAGACTGAGCTCAGTGCCGGACTCTGTGCTGTTATGGAGTCTGCTTACAATTCTTTTTTTTTTTTTTTAAAGATTTTATTTATTTATTTGACAGAGAGAGAGAGAAAGCAGGAACACAAGCAGGGGGAGTGGGAGAGGGAGAAGCAGGCTTCCCGCTGAGCAGGGAACCCGATGCGGGGCTTGATCCCAGGACCCTGGGATCACGACCCGAGCCAAAGGCAGACGCTTAACGACTGAGCCACCCAGGCGCCCCCTGCTTATGATTCTTTCTCTCTCTCTGCCCCCCACCCCAAAACACCATATGAATTCCTCTAGCGGCTAGTGGCATAATACTAACTCTTATTCCAGACAACAAAACAACAGGTATAAAAATCACTCTATATTCATTTACTTCGGTTTAAAATTATGCATGACTCAACTCTGAAAAATGGTAAATAAAGGGGAAAAGTCAAGCATTTACCCTGCTATTCCTGCATGAACTATACTTCAAGGAAACCACACAGTGGGCTTGGTACCTTGCAGACACAGAGGACTCTAAATTTGAGAGGTTACTGTGGCCCTTTCTAAGTGGTTCTTCCTTGGTTTTAATTTTTTACACATGAAAATATGTTCAACATTATTAGCCACCAGGTAAATGGCAATCAAAACCATGAGTTATCACTTCAAACCCACTAGGATGGCTATACTGAAAAAGACAGATAATATTAATACAGAAGTATAAGAACCCTCATACACTGCTGGTGGGAATGTAAAATGGTGAAGCAGCTATGGAAAACAGTCTAGCAGTGCCTCAAAAAGTTAAATACACTTAGCAAAAGATCCAGCAAATCTCCTTCTAGGTGGAGGGAGGATGAAAATATGCCCAAACGAAAACTTGTACATGAATGTTCACAGCAGCATTATTCCTAATAGACAAGAAGTGGAAACAACCCAAATGTCCATTCATTAATCAACAGATAAATAAACTATGATACATCCATACAATGGAATCATATAAGGCAGTAAAAAGGAAGGAAATACCGACACATGCTACAACATGGATGAATTCTGAAAATAATATTTTAAGTGAAAGAGGCCAGTCCAAAAGACTACAAACTATATGATTCCATTTAAATTAAACATTCAGAATAAGCAAATCTATAGAGACCAAAAAGAGATCAGTGGTAGCCTGGGGATGGGGGAAGGTCTGGATAAATGGGTATGGGTTTCTTACTGAGGTGATGAAAATGTTTTAAAACTGGGGCGCCTGGGTGGCTCAGTAGGTTAAGCGGCTGCCTTCAGCTCAGGTCATGATCTCAGGGTCCTGGAATCGAGCCCCAAGTCGGACCTCCTCAGCGAGGAGTCTCCTTTTCCCTCTCCCTCTGCCCCACCCCCTACTAGTGATTGCTCGCACTCTCTCTCAAATAAATAAAACCTTAAAAAAAAAACCCACAAAAAATTGATAGTAGTGATGGTTGCACAACTCAGTGAATACAGGAAAACCATTAAACTGTACATTTTAAACAGATGAATTGTGTGAAATGTGAACTAAATCTCAATAAAGCTGTTATAAAACAACAAAATCTTCCTTACCTTATGTTTATTTTTTTTATTTGTTTATTTTTTTTTAAAGATTTTATTTATTTATTCATGAGAGACAGAGAGAGAGACAGAGGCAGAGGGAGAAGCAGGCTCCCCGCGGAGCAGGGAGCCCGATGCGGGACTCGATCCCAGGACCTTAGGATCATGACCTGAGCCAAAGGCAGACGCTTAACCGACTGAGCCACCCAGGCATCCCTTCCTTACCTTATGTTTAAACGGTAAACACCGCTGAAGTTTTACTCTTAAGCACAGCCCTGTAGAGGAAAAAAAAAGAAAAGGCCCCAATTATCTCTTCTTTTATTAATTCTTGACAATGTATACAACTGTGTGTAGGTGTCTCCATACAATACAGTAGCTGGAAACAGCTTTGGTTCAATCCAGCGTAGGTCTCCTTGGAGCCAGGCACCATGCTAGCAACTTTAATATATATAGTCTTACATATTCCTCATGATAATCCAGTGAGCCACATACTACCAAACCCATTCTACAAATTATGAAACTAAGGTCACAATGTAACTTGCCCAAGGTCACTGAGTTAGTAAAGTGGCAATTGGGACTAAAACCCAAGACCACTGCAAAGCCTAGGTCCTTTCTACTACAACAATTTACCTTCAAGCAAAGGTCAGTTCACTCATTTAACTTTACTGAACACTCACAACAGGCCAGATCATGCAAAAATTTAAGACCAAATAAGAGCCACTTAAAAAGGACCACAAGAAACTTCTCAAATTTGGAATCCTCTATATCTACAATGTACAAATAGAGTTGTTTCCCCAAAACAAGATCCTCTGAAGTTCAGTTTATCACCTCAATGTCAAGTCATAGTTCAATACCCACCACCCCTCGCTCCAGTTGAGACTTGTAACAGAAATTAACACTGGGCTTGGAACGAACCCTCTGTGTGCCCATGTTCCTCTTCTCCCCCACCTCAAAACAAGGAAGGAATTTTTAACTAAATCTACACCCCTAGACACAAAAGATAAGTCAAACTGTTCTTATGCACAAAGTATTTCAGAGTACTTAGAGTCTAGAACACAGTAATTTCATAATAAATATTAGAGAACTCTAAAGACAACATATAGTTTCTTTAAGAGGGTCTCCCTTTAGAAGATCTGCCTTAAAGCATATTTGGAGGGTTCTTCTCTTCCCTCTGCCCCCCACACTGTCTCTTTAATTTGTTACCTGTGTATCATCTGAGCTTCCTCCTGTGTTCTACTCACTGTTGGTAGGTGTTTTACCCACATAGTATAAATAACAACTGTGTCACAATTCACAAAGCACTTTCTTGAACATCAATATCCTTAAGAGAGGCAGTAGAGCATTACTGAGATAGATACTTTGGGTTCAAAAGAAGCTCCACTGTATACAAGCTATGGGGCCCTCGTCAAGTTACTTAACCTCTCCTGAGCTTCAGTATCCTTATCTGTAAGATCGGTATTATAATAGTACCACTATATACAGGGTTGTTATGAGTAGTAAATAAATTGTTATGCAATGTGCCTAAAATAGGACTTGGTACATAAAAAGTATCTAATAAATATTAGCTATTACTATTATATCATTTTCATTTTACAACCAGGAACCATGATAAGTGATTTGTCTGACAAGCAGAGAGCTGGGAGCTAAATATAGACCTTCTGACTCCAAATCCTATGCCCTTCATATTGGACCACACCTGCCTTCAGCTATTCTTGTCCAGACTAAGTCAACACAAATGGCTATCAGCTGGTTTTCTCTGCCTTACCCACTTTGAGTCTTCCTTGTCTTTGCAATTATTTACCAGGATAACTCTGAGTAGGTGACGACCTAAGCAATCAGGCTGGAACGCATACCCAGGTGCCTTCCCCTGCTTCACACTACCTGCTCATAGGAAAACCCTCCCAGATGCCAGGAAGAAGGCTCCCTTTAATGTGTTTTCCAATCGTGTTGATTGAACATGGTTACTACACTAGTATACTAACTTCTAAAAAGCCAAGGGTCTTAACTGGAACTCATATTAAAAGGGTCCCCAAAATCCTGACAACACTTTGTTCAAGGAGTGGACAGATCTGAAGTAGCTCCCATAATCGGAACTGGGTGCCTTTAGAGTTACTTTTATTTCCTGGGCTTTCTCAATCTTTGTCCACACAAACATGGTTTTTCGATAATTACAATCATAATCAAATGCAGCTTAGCATTCCAGTTTTTTCATACATTTCTCAGATACTTTGATTCCTTGATTATCATTTTCTATAGAAACAAGAAATTCCATTATATTGGTGCCATTTCCTTATTAATAGATACTATAGTTTCTTCCAGGCTTTATTATTATAAATTTACTATAAACGTTTTGTACACGTTACTGTTTTCTTCAATGGAATTATTTCCTTAATTCCTGGGTCAAAGAGTAGAAACTTTTTAATAAGGACTTACTTATATGTACCCAGAAGCTTAAAAATACTTATACCATATGACCCAATAATTCCAATTAAAGGAATTTATCCTGAGGCAATAACTAGAGATATATGAAAATATTTATGTATAAAGTTGTTCATCATATTATTTAATAAATTGTGAAAGCCTAGAAGTGGTATAAATGGTTATAAAAATTATGATATACTGATGTGATTAGCACAAACCTCTGACTATATAATTAAAAACTAATATTTAATGAAGAATAAAAAATATTCCTTATCTATTTCACATGTTCTATTATCTAAACTTTATAACTGTTGATACTCTTATTATCTCTACTTTACAGATAAGGAAACTGAGGCTCAGAAAGGTTAAGTAATTTGCCTAAGGCCACAAAGTGGCAGACCTGACAGAGCTGGAATTTTAGCCTAGAGCACACATTCTTTTATGACAGCTGATTTTTATTTTTTTCTTTATGCTTCTGTGGAGTTTCCAAATTATTGCCAAGAAACATACTTTTGTAATGTAAAAAAACACAAAATAAATGTTACTTTTTAATAATTTTTTTTTAAGATTTTATTTATTTATTTGACAGAGACAGAGATAGCAAGAGCAGGAACGCAAGCAGGGGGAGTGGGAGAGGGAGAAGCAGGCTTCCCGCTGAGTGGGGAGCCCAATGCAGGGCTCGATCCCAAAATCCTGGGATCATGACCTGAGCTGAAGGCAGACGCTTAACGACTGAGCCACCCAGGCGCCCCTATATGTTACTTTTTTTTCCCCCCCTAAATGTTACTTTTTAAAAATCAACTTGCTAAAAGCTCTTAGAGTAATAGACCCTCTATTTAAGAACTCTTATGTATCAAAATATTTTAAGATACTTCCCTTCACATCAAGAGAGTAGCAGTACTTCTGGTATCTGTTGATTCAGAAACTGTCCAATGACAAAAAAATAAGCATGCATTCAAAAATGCTTTTTCTAGGATGGAATATTAATAACCACAATATCATCGGGGTGCCTGGGTGGCTCAGTCGGTTAAGTGGCCAACTCTTGATTTTGGCTCAGGTTATGATCTCAAGGTCCTGGGATCCTGCCCTGTGGCAGGCTCTGTGCTCAGCAGGGAGTCTGCTTGAGGATTCTCTCTCCCTCTGTCTCTCCCTTGGCTTATGTTCTCTCTCTCTCAAATAAATAAATAAATAAATAACCACAATATTATCTATGGATTCATGGACCCTTTAGTCCCTCAAGATGTGGCCCATATGCTGGAAATCACTAACAGGGATCCCAGATCAACAAGTGAGAAGAGAAAAACAGAAATCACAAAAATGGAAGCAATAATAAAATATTTACCTTTTCAATCGTTTTTATAAACTTATCTATTTTTAAACAGATGATATATTCCCATACTTCAAAAACTTAAAAATATAAAAAGGTATACAGTAAAGTCTTCCTCCCACCCTGTCCCCAACCTGCCCAGTTCCTACCACCAATACCCACCCCCATCACAGCTGGCCATTTCTTATATATTCTTTGTGCCTATACAATCAAATACAAATTTCTATTTTTGCCCTTTTATACACAAATGTAGCAATATTATACTTGTTTTTATTTCTTAACAGTATGTAACAAAGATCTTTCCATACCAGTACGTGGAGAGCTTTTTCATTCTTTCTCATAGCTGTATAGCATTCCATTGTTAATATATACCATTAATGATTATTTCACCAATTCCCTACTGATGAACATTTGGTTTGAAATAAACTTCCTTTATCTTTTTTATTCTTATTTATTTATTTTTTTAGATGGGGGGGAGAGGGGCAGAGGGAGAGGGAGAAAGAGAATCTTTAGGAGGCTCCACACCCAGCGTGGAGCCCAAGCAGGGCTCAATCCCACAACCTTGAGATCATGACCTGAGCAGAAATTAAGAGTCAAGGCTTAACCGACTGAGCCACCCAGGCGCCCCTCCTTTATCTTCAAAGACATCTCTTGTATATCTTACAGCTAACTACTACAAAATATTGGGAATGCAGCCTCTCGAATAGAAAACTACCTCAAAAATAACACTCCCAAATAAAAAACTTAAAAAAAAAAACAAAAAAAAAGAACTCTCCCACTAGGACTTATGGCCCATGCTGCACTGAAGCCAAGAGAGCAGTGAAAGGAAAAGAAGGTGATGGCAGCAGGGCTAGTTTGACAGCACCCACTCCAATCCCCAGAACTGAGGAGAGGACTGGCCCACACCCACTCTCTTAACTGTAGGCGTGTACAGGGAAGAAAAGCAACATGGGGTAATTAAAGGAGATCTCACATTTGGAGTCAGGGGACCTGGGTTTGAGCCTCAGCTTCATCATTTCCTGGCTATGTGATTCTGAGCAAGTCACTTAAATTCTCTGAGTCTTGGGTTCCTCATCTGGAAAATTCTCTCATAGGCTGTGAGGGCTACAGAAGATACACATTTGAAAAGACTCTGTGAACTATAAAGTGTGATACATGATGCTAATTGTTATTTTGGGTCAGTATCAGTAAAATAATTTAGAATTAAAAATATATTTATATATAAAATCTTACCAATAAGGGTTGCCAAAGAGCAGTGAGGTACTGTTGGTGTGAACCTGATAATAACCAAATAGTCTTCTTCGTTTATCTCCTGAACCTCCACACTACTTTCTGTTACCACTTCCAGTTCTTCTAAAGTATTGGGCTTCTCTGGGTCCCGGATAGTTCGAATCAAATCTAAAGAATCATCAGAGACAAGGTATTATGTTAAAACATGAATATTCTCAATAAGGATGACTTTGCCAGTCCTAATCCAAACACGGACTGCTTTTTTTTTTTTGAACCAAATATTATAGTAACTGCCCAGATTTCTCACAGAAATTTCCACAACCAGTTTCCTTTTGAGAAAACTGTTTTCTTGGATTCTTATTAGATCATAACCAGTTTCTTGGATCCAACATTACAGAGAGAACATAAGAATGACAAGAGTGTCATAGAAGTTAAAGGGGAAGAAATAACTTATAGCTTGGGAGACTGTGGTATCAGGATTTAGGAAAGTCGAATCTGAAACAAGCCTTTAAAAATTTCAGTATTTGACATTTAAGGTGAAGGAAAGAAAAGGAAAAGAAGTTTAGGGGCTCCTGGCTGGCTCAGTCAGCAATGAATGCAGTTCTTGATCTTGGGGTCATGAGTTTGATCCCCACGTTGGGTGTAGAGATTACTTAAAAAAAAAAATTTTTTTTTAATTAAAAAAATGTTGAGTCTGCCTGGAACCCAGCATAAGTGAGGATATAAGAGTTTGGGCCCGGGGCGCCTGGGTGGCTCAGTTGTTAAGCGTCTGCCTTCAGCTCAAGTCATGGTCCCAGAGTCCTAGGATCGAGCCCCACATTGGGCTCCCTGCTCAGCGGGAAGCCTGCTTCTCCCTCTCCCACTCCCCCTGCTTGTGTTCCTGTTCTCTCTGTCTCTGTCAAATAAATAAATAAGTAAATAAATCTTTAAAAAAAAAAAAGAGTTTGGGCCAGACCATCAAGGATCTTTTACAGTCAGCCACAGGCAATAGGGAATCCTCAAGAGGTTCTGAATGAGGGAGGAACAGGGACAGCATAACACTGTCAGCTGGGAACTCATCCACTGGCTGGTAGACTCAGAGCTAAGGGCAAAGCCAGGAATACCAGCTGAAAATGCTGGGCCCAAAACAGGCACATGACAATAGTAATGGAGAGGAGGGGACAGATGGAGAAGTAATTTCAGCAGCAGAATCAAGAGAATTTGACAATTGTTTAGATGTAGAAGACAAGGAAAGGGAAAAAGGAAGATGACTCAGATTTTAAGTCTGTCTGGGAGAACACTGATAGAATGAAAAAACAAAACAAAACTGGAGAACACAGGAAGAAAGTTGGGTGGGGGCTGGGGCAACTGGGTTCAGTTTTATACACAATGATTTTGAGGTGCTTAAGGGGCAACCCGATGGGACAGTCCAGCAAATACTGAACTGTGACATAAGGTTTAAGAGAGCACCAAGGCTAAACACATGAAAAGATGCTCAACATCACTCATCATCAGGGAAATGCAAATCAAAACTACAATGAGAGATCGCCTCACACCTATCAGAATGGCTAAAATAAAAAACACAAGAAATAAGTGTTGGCAAGGATGTGGAGGAAAAGGAACCCTGTGCACTGTTGGCGGGAATGCAAACTGGTGCAGCCACTGTGGAAAACAGTATGGAGGGTCCTCAAAAAGTTAAAAACAGAACTAGCCTACAATCCAGTAATTGCCCTACTGGGTATTTACCTAAAAAATACAAAAACACTAATTCAAAGGGATACATGCATGACTATGTTTGTAGCAGCATTATTTACAATAACCAAGATATGGAAGCAGCCCAAGTACCTATCGATTGATGAATTTATGAATATATCTGATATATATGTGATGGAATATTATTCAACCATAAAAAAGAATGAAGTCTTACTATTTGCAAGGACATGAATGGAGCTAGAGAGTATAATGCTAAGCAAAACACGTCAGTCAAAGACAAATACCACATGATTTCACTCATATGTGAAATTTAAGAAATGAAACAAATGAAGAAAGGGAAAAAAGAGACAGACAAACCAAGAAACCGACTTTCAACTGTAGAGAACAAACTGATGATTATCAGAGGGGAGGTGGGTGGAGGAACAGGTGAAATAGATGAAGGGTTTTAAGAGTACACTTATGAGGAGCACTGAGTAACATACAGAATTGTGAATCATTATATTGTACACCTGAAGCCAATATAATGCTGTATGTTAACTATACTGGAATTAAAATAAAAAATTAAAAAGAGAGAGAGAGAGCAACAAAGCTAGAGTGGTTCTTGAACCCATGGGATTCGCAAAGAATGAGCAGAACAGTTTTCAACCTTGGGTGAACAATGGAATCATCAGGACTGCTTTAAAAACAAAACAAAAATTGATGTCTAAGCCCTACTCCCAAAGATCCTGATTTAATTGATTTGTAGTATGGGCTGGACTTAAAAAATTCCTCAGGTTGTTCTTATGGGCAGCTCAGTTTGAAAACTACTAATGTAAAGGGAGAGACCCAAGAATAGACCTGTAGGAAGCACCTAATTTAGGGATCAGAAGAAGAAAGAAAAGCAAGAAGCAGAGATGGAAGCGGGGGGAGATTAACAACATTAAATGCAGCAGAAAAATTCAAAATGATGACAGCTGAAACAGGTCTTTGGATTTGTAACCCAGAAGATCACCTATAAGAAAGCAGTTTCAGTAGAGAGATGAGGACAGAAGCCAGCTTGCAAAAGGGGAAACGAGAAGGAACCGAAAATGCAGTCCTAGGGCTTTGGCAGGGAAGGGAAGGGCAAAGAACAGATAGTGGGTTTAGACAAAGCTAGAACAATGACAAGGGTAAGGGAAACTTGAGTATGTTTTATAGCCCAAGGGGAAGGATCAAATAGAGGAAGTGAGACTGAAAGTATAGGGGGGAGGATGGCGGACTGGCAAAATAAGCAGAAGGGAATGAGACCAAGGATGTGGGAGCCTGGGCTGGCCTTGGAGAGGACAAGATTTCCTTCTTACTCTGAGGTTGGAGAAAAATATGGAAAAGGAGAATGATAGACAAATGGTGAGATAGAAAGGAGAGCAGAAGGAATCCACATAGGATGGACTTTGATGTTCTCCAGCCTGAGGTTTTGTTCTATTATTGATAGCACCCCTGTAATCAGAAATGCTACTGGGAAAAACAAATCAATCACTCCACCTTCTCCCCAACCACTCCTAGGCTTATCACTTGATTAGCCACAGAATCTGAAAATGGAGACAGGAAAGAAAAGACAAAGCTTCTTCTTCACAAGGCTCTGTCCCCATGGGGCTCAGGGAAACACAGCTTTTTAAAAGATTTTATTTATTTATTTGACAGAGAGAGACACAGCGAGAGAGGGAACACAAGCAGGGGGAGTGGGAGAGGGAGAAGCAGGCTTCCTGCCCAGCAGGGAACCCAATGCGGGGCTCGATCCCAGGACCCTGAGATCATGACCCGAGCCGAAGGCAGTCGCTTAACCGACTTGAGACACCCAGGCGCCCAACACGGCTTTTTTAAAAGAAATTTGCTCCCCCTCATCCTTGGCATTTTCCTTGTAAGGCTCATTTATACAAGCTGCATTATATTCTTTAATATGCTACCTAACCCTGAAATTAAGTCTCACCCCTTATTAAACTTCTCTGGTTTTCTACTGATTTGAGAGATTTGGATTTATTTATTTAGAAAGAAAGCAATGTTGCTCTTCTCACATTACTCCTCTGATGAAAATTCTTCTATGGCTCTGCACTGATATTCTTTTTCTTAAACGATTTTATTTATTTGAGAGAAAAAGAGTGAGTGAAAGAGAGAGAGGGGACGAGTGGGGGAGGAGTAGAGGGAGAGGGAGAAGCAGGCTCCACACTGAGCAAGGAGCCCGATGTGGGGCTCAATCCCAAGACCCTGAGATCATGACCTGAGCCAAAGGCAGACGCTTAAACGACTGAGCCACCCAGGTGCCCCTGCATTGATATTCTTTATACATTTAAATCTTCAGTATCCAGTTCTGACCTGGTATCTAAAATAATTTTTGACCACACTTCCACCCTTTACTACAAACTCTATCCTGAAGCCCCACCTATCTGCCATTCTCTAACATGTTCCTTTATCACCTCCATACTTTTGCTCCCTTTTCTCTTAGTATGCTTTCTACCCTCCATATATCCAGAGCATACTTATACTTCAAGGCCTAACTCAAGTGACTCCTCCTTAAGTTTTTCCAGATCCCCCATTCAGAGATTACTATCTCTCCTTCCTCTGAATTTCTCTCTCTCTTATTCAGGTCGATGGCTTTCTACTGCATAAAATAAAAAAGTCTATTTTTGCATATATAGGTCTCCCTCGATAGAAACTTTAGGACAAGAATCATCTCTCTTCCAAAGCTGTATCCCCAAGTGCCCTTCTGTCCTGAGATGCTGTAGACAGAAGTCTGATAGTACAGGAATGTGTCCGTTTTGTGGAGATCATTCTACTCATAATCATCTAGCTGGGGTTAAGTCCTGCCTCTAGTAAGAGAGCGGTAAATTAGATTGGCTCCAAAGATCTTTTCCAACCCTGGCCTCCTTCTCCTGGTCCCTAATCCTTGCCCACATTTTATTTGTATTCTTTGGTTAGATCTTTCACCTGCAGTCAGCAGGAACAGCTGAACAGTAGTTAGAGCCAGTCTTTTTAGTTTTCAAAAGCAATACTACATAAGTCCCAAAACAGGGAGTCATAAGGCAATTGTGAAATGGTGTAAAGTGCACGAAGTTTGGAATCAGAAGACATGGGCTTGGTTTTTGCCGTTTCTGTACTGGCAGTGTGACCTCCGGGTAGCTGTTTAACCATTCTAAACCTTTGTTTTCTCATTTGTACAATGAAGCGGGTCCCAGGAATTTAAACAATGTATGTGATTGTGTGTGTGTGTATTCGTTTTTGCACTGCTGGCTTGGCTGTGATAAGAAACTAAAAGTTCGAGGCCCGGGTACGGGGAGCCGGGTTTGTCCTCTTCTCTCGGGGACCGCTGCCTTTTTTTTTTTTTTTTCTTTTGCACAAGAGAGCGACTGTGCCCTTAGGCCAGTCCCCAACTCGTTAGTCACCCAGGGGCTAGGGGACGCAAGGAAGGAGACAAGTAGTGCAATCAATCCAGCTTTGCTTCCTAACCAAGCACCCTAAATGCCTGCTCTGCCCAGAAATCTTGAAAAGGCCACTAGGGCGTGGGGCAGACAAGGGAAATGAAGCGTTTAAAAACCTCCAGGCTCGGCTTGCCCCAGGTTTAGGAAGAGCCCGGGTCCTAGAAAGATCCACATTCCTGCGTGACTCAGGACCCCGGAGACAAGGCTTCCCAAGCTTCGGACGAGACCCAGCAAAAACCGGAGTCTCCACCCCCAGCCCTCAGGTGAGATCCCCGTTACCCCCACCTCCACGTACAACGCCAAACGCTGTCCTGGGTAAAATTAGTTACCATAAACCTCTAGCGCTTTTTCTTCCATGATCCGGGGCTGCCGGGCAGCTCCCCGCTCAAAGAGGCCGGAGAGCCACAGGACTCTGCTCAGCGTCCAGGAGAGCAGCCCGGACACCCGCTCCATCCTCACGCTCCGCCATCCCTGGCGACTGTCCCATCCGAGCCACCGTCTCTCAGCAGCGGGCCTCGAGATTTATCAACTTCCTGGTCTTCAAATGGGCCGAGACAAGCCTAAAGGTCCAGGAGAGCAGAAAATAGGCGGGGCCTGACAGAGTAGCGCGGAGGACCTAGGGAAGGGCCCCGCGAGGACCACAAGCCCCAGCATGCTTTGCTCGGTTTCGGCGGGACAAGAGAAAAAAAAAAAAATTCCTCCCAGCACGTGAGGAGCATTGCGTGCTGGGACCAAGGGGCAAAGAGATGTATTCTGGGATTTGTAGTCTATATCGGGTAAGAAGGGGTAGGTAACGGTCTGTTACCCGCCACTGTTTGCCTCATTCAGCGCCCTCGATAAGCTGAAAATAAATCCTGAAGAGGTAGGGGAAAGGAGATCTTTGCTGGAGGAGTGTGTGCAAAGACAGTCTACTGTTATTTCTCTGAGGGAGCCGCTTCCAGCCAGTTTTCTTACTTCCTAGTCACGCCGGAAGTGAGTTTCCGTTGCCCTGAAACGGAAGGTCCTGGAAGTCCACTGAAGTTGGCTAGGAGTCGCGGGGTTAAGAGAGGGCTTTTGATTTTCTCGCCTCAGAGGGCTCAGGCTAGCACAGCTCCCCACTACTAGCTGCATATTTCTGTCGGTCGCCTTCAGAGACAACTTAGAACGAAAGGCCTTTCCTCGTGCCCAGGATATCCAGTAGTGACATACTGGAAATCGTAATCCTAAGAAGAATGTCTTAAGTCCTCTGGTGTTCGTGGCTGTGATGAATGCCAGGAACAATGTTGATGATGTTAGTTTTATCCATCCATCCCTCCAAGTTTCAAACATTTATTGGCCACTTACTTTGCCAGACTTGGTGTATAGGCACCGAGAATACGAAGATCGGAGGCGGCCCCTGCCCTCAAACAGCTCATAGACCTGTGAGAGAACCAATCCCTGATGTTGAGGAATTTGCAATTAGAAACAAACCTTTTATCAGACTTGATTCCAAATGTCATCTCTATTGAAAAGAAAGGGTCATTTTGCTGAATTACCCTATGCTAACATATCCCGTTTATCTTTTGTTTATTGTCTGGCTGATTTAGACTTTAGGCTCACCAGACAAGTGAATAGTTTAGATCCCAGGAAAATTGTGTTCAGAATTTATGAATTTCCCTGCCATCTGTTCCACTCCACTCCACAGCAATGAAGAGGATAACCCCAACTTCCTTGTAACTTTGGTTACAAGGCCTCACCCCCTTGAGGCCTCCCTACATTTCCAAGCATAACTGATGCCCTCTTTCATTGTGCTCCCAGAACACATCATAGCACTGAACACGTTGAATTTGTTCATTTGCATGCCTGTCTCCCTCAAGTGCCTAGTGGGTCAGGAGCTTATTTCTGTATTCAAACGCATGGTAGGGTGCCAGGCACACAGTAGATGTTCTATATATTTCTTGAATGAATTAACTAAATGTCGTCCAAAGAATAAATGGTGAAACTTTGCTGCCGCCTGTTGAGAGACCTCAAAAATATTTACTGAATCTCAATGAGAGCATTGGCATAGGTAGGTAGCATGTAGAGGAGTTTTCAAACTCCTTTATTCGAACATCTTCTTAAGAAGGCTGTTGGCTAAAGCTATCCAGAACAGAAAGGGCCCTAGGAATCTGAGCAGCCCCTACCTAGCTCTTCCTTTTCCGCCCCACTCCCCCCTTGGTTAAGAGCTCAGCGTCGCGAAGCCGGGTTCGGATTTGTTGGGTAGGAGCTTTGGGCCGGAGCGTTGGACCGCCCTGCCCCGCCCCCAGCGGCCGGGCCCCGCCCCCGAGCCCCCGCCCTGTGCGTCCCGCGGGGTTGGTCACGACGATCCCACTCCTCGTTCCTTTGGAACGTTTTGCTCGCGGCGCTATCTCTCTATAAAGTTGTTGTTGCGGCTTCCGCCGCGGGTGGAGGAAGATGGCGTCGGGTGGTGGTGGCTGTAGCGCTGCGGAAAGACTCCCTCCGCCTTTCCCCGGCCTGGAGCGGGAGTCCGAGGGGGCGGCCGGGGGGTCAGAACCCGAGGCTGGGGACAGCGACACCGAGGGGGAGGATATTTTCACCGGCGCCACGGCGGCCGTGAGTTCGCACCCTTCGGGGCGGCCGGCGGGCGGGCGGGCGCCCGAGAAGGGAAGAGAGGCCAAGCGACGGTCGAGGAAGCTGGGCAGAATGGGCCCGGCGGGGCCCGGCGAGACCCTGCGTTGGTGACGGTAGTCGCGGCTTGAGAGCCCTTAATGGGTACCAAGATGTTAGGGGCCCGACTCCCAGGTCCCGGGGGCAGACGGTGAGGAGCGAGGGGTGTGGTGGCTTCTCCACCCAGGTCCCTGACAGCGAAGAGATGCCCAGGCCGGCATTTGGCCCTGCCGTGTGGTGACCCCAAGGACCCACGGGATTGTTTTGTGGTCGTTTCCTGGCGGCCTGATTTAATAGGTCAAGATAAGGAAATGGGATGCAGACTTTTCTTTCCTTAACCTTACTGCTCCTAGGATCAGTAGTGTTATCTGGAGTGGCTCAGGACCTTGACCCGCCCACAAATCCTTTCATTAGCTCAAAACTTACCGTTAATTACCAACGGCTCATTGTGGATCTAGTTTGTAAGGGTTACGTTGACTCCTCTGATCTCTAAGGAAAATCCTGCCAGAAGTCGGTTGAAAAGAAGGCCCTGCCAGATAAATCACTACATAGATGACAAGCTTTGTCCTTTTTAAAGAGCTGTATTAAAATGCCTAAGTACCTCTGTGGGCTTAAATCTCTAAATGTGAGGAGGAAACAGTGTTTCCCTTAATAATATCCAGGTTTCTAATAAGAGGTGTTGGGGGAGAAACTGATCTTTATATGTAGAATGTGAAAATCAATCAGTTCTGGAACCAGTGGAGATGTTTTGGGTTGTTTTATAAGAATACTGACTCACACGACTTGGTACAGTTCGTTCCAGGTTGAAAACTTCAGTGCTAGGTCTGTGAATTTATGTACTCTTCTATCTCGGATAATACTTCTCTTTGTAGTACCTATTTCAGTATATAAGTGACTAAATAAGACAGCTTGAAATTCTTTATGTAGCATGTGTCTGAAAAAGGTTGAGGCTTGTTTCATTTATGTCAGAAAGCGGCTAAGTTTCTAGGAAATATCTTTGGTGACATCTTTAGAATTTTCCCTGTACTGTATTCGGGAATGGAATTCATAATCCTAGCCCAAAAAGTACTTGTTGATGCTAATATAACGGCTTAAAACGGTCTAATGAAGTCTCTCTTATTCTAAGAAATAACTCTTGCTGCTAATTTAGTCTTTCTGTATCTCACTTAAAACAAATTTTTGGTCTTTTCCTTTGGTAATTCTCCCATAAGTCATGGAGAAGAGCTACTGTTAATAACTACTGGGATGAAAAAAAAAATAACTACTGGGATGGTAGTTATTCAGACCAAATATCTGAAAATAGACACTCTGACATTGAAAGTGATTGGTGACGTAGGCAAATGATGATTTATTTTCAAAAAGGGCCCTGAAAGGGTGAGGAGTTTTCTAGAGTTTTCTAAAAGAAGTTGAAGAGGCTGTGACTTGATTGATCTCAGATTACTTTACGGAGGCATCAGTACTTCTCTCTTATAAGACTGTGTGGAAGTACTTCGCCTAATTTCCAACCAAAGAGAGGAGGAAGGAGTCAGAATGAACTTGTTCTACCACAGAAAGCGTAATTATTTTTAGTTAGATTTTGATCCAGGAAAATTGAGTTGCTGGGGAAACTAAAATGCCACCTGTAAGCCATTTTTTGAGCTGCCTGTTCTGATGTTAATCTTCAGGAAGCCAAGACTCCAATATTTCTCACTAGTTAAACTGTGAATTTCTTGTTTAAAAGCCACTGAATACAAATTATATTCCAATAAATGTTTTAGTTGTGAGCCTGTGTAAGAAGACGGGGGATTGCAGTGCTTCTGTGTCTTAAGGAGTAACATTGAAGAATAAAATAAGAACAAGGGCCTTGAAGGCTGATTTAAATCCATCCAGGTTCTGTTACTTGGGCAAGGTACTTAATTACTCTGTATGGTTTCCTCACCTGTAAAATGTGAATAATAGCATTTACGCCCACCATTATTACGCGGATTAAATTCAAATATCTGTGAAACACTTGTGAAACACTTGAGCATTGTAAACTGTAATTACACTAAGACTCAAAGAACCCACAGAATCTAGTAATGAATTAGAAAAGTTATATTAACCCCAAAAATGGTTAATGTAGTTTATCAAAAACTAGTAATAAGATTGATTTGATTAACTAAAATTCATGAAAGTAGGCACTTAATGACTTCAGTGGCATCTTACTAAGTTTACCTTCATATTGTGTTTTGATGGGTGTTGGAGGCAGAGGGAGGGGTATTAAAAAATTGGGAAGCTGAGGCATGTAAAATTTAAAATAATTTATGGTATGCATGTAATTTCCTGGACATTGATGTAACAGCTGCTGTTGTTAATCATCCCATCTGCTCTCTTTTAGGGCCCAAGAGGCTTTGTTAATACAGTAATAAAAGTATTTATAATCAAAGGGGCGCCCATGATATGCATTTCAGAATCTACAAACCAGTTACATGAAAGGGATAGACTGGAGTTAAAAGGATTATTAAAACAAATCTGAATATTAAAAGGATTATTAAAACAAATCTGAAAGCATTGCCTTAAGATTGAAAACCAGCTGGGAAATATCTTAAGATATTTTTAGAATATATATAAATTATACATATAGATATATATAAATATATAAATTATGTTAAAAATTTTAGACTAAATGGCATACATATTTTTGTGCCTCATTTAACTTAAGTGGTCTTACTTGCATACTTACACTGAATGATAGAGTTGAAGCAAGTTCTTTATTTGCCCTCCCAGGAATTCTTATATGCCCATCTCTTTTTAGCAGTATGCCTAGATATGCCCTCTAAATGAAAGAGAACTGCAGAGGCCTTTCTCATGCTAAGAGGAAGGAGGAAAAGTGATAACCTCACTTCAGATTTTGGCCAAATCTGGTAACTACTTCTTCCGATGATCTATCAGACCAATTAGAATTTTTTCCCACTACTCTTCATCTTTAATTGAAACCATAGTAATTACAGAAATGG